TGGCTGAGATACAACTATTTGAAAATCTGGAATCTGAGGATGCAAAAAAAAAAATCTAAATATTGTGAAAATCACCTTTGAAGTTGTCCAAATTAAGTTCTTAGCAATGCATATTACTAATCAAAAATTAAGTTTTGATATATTTACGGTAGGAAATTGACAAAATATCTTCATGGAACATGATCTTTACTTAATATCCTAATGATTTTTGGCATAAAAGAAAACATCGATCATTTTGACCCATACAATGTATTGTTGGCTATTGCTACAAATATACCCGTGCGACTTATGACTGATTTTGTGGTCCAGGGTCACATGTAGGTTTTTAATTGAATATAATGTGATTACTAATCACCTCACAGTCATTTCAAAGACTATGTCTAATAATGGGGTATGAAAATCCCTTTATTTAAGTTTTACAGATTGTGATACAAAGTGTCTTTATTATGAGCTCCAGGATACAACTAATGGGCATTCAAAGTCTTTAACCCTGCTGGAAAATCTAGCTAGAGCTAGTTTAAGGTGGGTTTTTTGTTTTGGAGCTGGTTTGTAGCTGGTTCGTGCTGATTAGGTGGACGACCACCCAAACTAGACCAGTTTGGACCAGCAACAAACCACTTTTAAGTTTGTATGACCTGGTCATACCACATGGTCTCATACCCAAGATAGTCTACCAGGTGTCCACCTGCTAGTCAAATACATAAACCAGCTTGAACCAGATAGAAACGAACTGTGTTCTTCCATAACCAGGTGCATTTAGAATCAAACATTTTCTATCCACGATAATCCTCAGGTATTCATTCTCATGCAGATCTTTTTATTCAATGATGCTGAACATTCAACTTGACAGAGTCTCTATTTGTGGAAGTAAAGTTTTGTTTATTGGCTTTGCTGTCTGTTTATCTCTCCAGGCCCTCTGGAGATTCATTTAGCTGCTTCTCAGATTCCTGTTTGTCCTTTTCCATTTGTTCCTGCTCTTTGGTGTCCAATTCCTTCAGTTTTTCCTCCACGTCTTTGGGAATCTCCACCTCCATCAGATTCTCCATTCCCGCCTCCGGCTCGTCTCCAATCAAAACCTTAATCAAAGACACACAAAATTGCACATGAAACCTTAATGGACCTCAATATGTTCCGTCAGAGTCGCATATCGAGAGAAAAGTGGTAATGACGCAGGACGGGAGCTAATGAGATGCCAGACAGCACTTCACTTTTACTGTCATTCCCAAGTAGCAATTTCGGGAACCCGACAACATGGAAAAACTTCAGTAACTTGATAGCTGTTAGTTAAAAACTGCTGCTTTATGAAAAAGCGCCCATTAATCCTGGATAAATATTAGCCTCGTTCTGCGCTTGGCATATTAGCTGTTTTATTGACGCTAATTAAAATGGTTGGGTTGAGGCAAACGGCCGAACCACTGCTTCTGGCCTGGAGTTCAAAAGGGATCTCCCAGACGTTATGGAGAATATCATGCTTTAATAGGAGACCCTGTGACATCTTTTCCATGGGGCTGTACCCAAATATATGCCTGTCACGGTGCAAGGAACAGGCTTTTTCCACCAAATTAGTGTCTCTTGCTTTTTTCGACAAAAACCCATAAATCCTGGTTTTGGAGAACTGGAACTGAACTGTCTGGGGTCTTCCAAAGCACAACAATCCACATCTACAGAAAACGTTGCATGTGACGATCTTGCAATAGAGATGCAATCGTGTAATTGGACGGAACTGCGTTGATTTGAACCTAATGAGCTAATAATGTGTTACACTAAGCATTAACACACTGTGCCCACAAATATTGGATAAAATAGTCTCGTAATATCAACTTGTCTGCCATCTTGAATTAGTTTTTTTTTCACTAAGCTCATTGCAATGTATTCTGGGATTGCTTTATCCTCGAATGATACATGCATTGCTACCTTAAATGTTTTCATACCTGGACGAGTTTCTCACAGGCTGAAATCACATGTGGATCCTTCTCCCATTTGTGAAACTCTCTCATGATGGGATACACGTTCTTGTTCTTCATAATCTGTCGGCCCACTTTAGTAGCTGTAAGCTGAATATGAACAGATCATTAAGAAACTGAACTAAAGAATAGCCATACGTACATAAAGGAAGAAAAATATAGTGATAATACCCCACATTCCAAAATTGTTTTGAAAGAAATTAATGCTTTTATACAGCAAGGACCTATTAAATTGATTAAAAGTGGCAGTAATGACATTCATAATGTTACAAAATATTTCTATTTCAAAAATGTTTTCATACCTGGACGAGTTTCTCACAGGCTGAAATCACATGTGGATCCTTCTCCCATTTGTGAAACTCTCTCATGATGGGATACACGTTCTTGTTCTTCATAATCTGTCGGCCCACTTTAGTAGCTGTAAGCTGAATATGAACAGATCATTAAGAAACTGAACTAAAGAATAGCCATACGTACATAAAGGAAGAAAAATATAGTGATAATACCCCACATTCCAAAATTGTTTTGAAAGAAATTAATGCTTTTATACAGCAAGGACCTATTAAATTGATTAAAAGTGGCAGTAATGACATTCATAATGTTACAAAATATTTCTATTTCAAATAAATGCTGTTCTTTTGAACTTTCTATTCATTAAAGAATCCTTACAAATGTAGTATGGTTTCCACAGAAATATTAAGTAGCACAACTGTTTTCAACATTAAAAATAAGAAATGTTTCTTGAGCGGCAAATCAGCAAATTTGATTTCTGAAGGTTCATGTGATACTGAAAACTAGAGCAATGATTCTAAAATTCAGCTTTGCATCACAGGAATAAATTACATTTTAAAATATTCAAATAGAACATTTTAAATTGTAATAATATTTTACAATGATACTGTTTTACTGTATTTTTGATCATATAAATGCAGCTTTGATGAGCATAAGAAACTTTCAAAAATGTTAAAAAATCTTACCGACCCCAAATATTTGAATGGTTGTGTAAGTCATTTGCTTCAATACAGGCAAATGATAGATAAAATAAATGAAAGATTTGAGATGCTGTTCTTACAAGCATCAGGGTTTCTAAGAGCATCTTGCGGATATCAGGATCATCTTCTCTCTTTTTATCCTCTGGCAGGTACTGCAAGTCCACAGGCAAACCTGTAAATGCAAATAAAAATCAATTAAATGTAAAGTATGTAATTGTTGTATTGTTAAAATAGCGGCACGATAATCAAACACTTCACCTTTAAAACATTTTAAGAAGGAAAAGTGGTCATAATCCTATCGCTTAGAATAGAAACGGCATGTCTCTTAATATGCTGGGTTCAGAGTTTGTTCAAATCTCAAACCTTTAGGATAAGCATTAGTAAAAAAATCATGCTTGCCAATTATACAGTTCAAACATACTCTTATTAAGTTAGATTGTATGTTTGGGCTATAGTTATACAGACTTTGAAAGGATTTCAGAAAGGTCTTATAAGGTCACTTCTTAACTAATACATTTTCTCTCCTATTTTGGTCAGAAAGGCATTATGCACAAGTGGAAAATATGGTGAATATAAACTCTTCAAACAGCTTTTATGAAACCGCAAACTTTGAACAAAGATTCTGGCCTAGCAAATTCACAACTTCCTGCTGTAATGGTGGTATTTCCACTTTGTTCATTCCATTTTCCTATTAACATTCAACCTGTGTATCATCAAAATGAGTAAACAGCACCACCTACTGGACAAAGGAAAGAAACGTATTGCTTTTTGGTTTCTACACTACAAACAAAAATCAAAACAAAACAAAAATCGTTCTTGGATAAGGGGCCTGTACCATGAAGCCGGATTAGCAGGCTAGCCAGATAAGTTTCAGTTTAGTTTGCACCAATCCTGGGTTTTAGGTGCCATGAAAGTGGCTTGGCTTTTAGCTGCGTTCGTTGCCATAGTGACTTACACTGCAAAGCTAACCTGCTCTGGGGCAGGTTATGTTCTGGGTAAGAGATCTCAAACTGAAATTGGACCAATCAGATGTGAGCAAAGTGACATGTCTGACGCAAAAAAAAAGTAATTCCCCCAGTTTCTCTTCCTACAAATTAAGGGTCATTATAAAGTACCTTTAAAAATACAACTAAATTGTCTGGCTTTAATGATAATTACAATTTACATATAATTTACATAATTATAATATGATTTATATTATTATTAATATATTACACGCAAGTACTTTTAGTTTAACAATTATTATAAAGCATTTATTTTAAATGAATATTAATATATACAGATGAGATCATATGTAATATAAATAAGTGGCAGAATCAATAGATAACACTTTAAAAATGGCTGCATGACCTTACATGTTCGAGTCTCTATCGCTATATATTATCGACAACTATATAAACTAACTTCACAAGATTCACTTGTGACTGCACTAATAGAGCAAGATCATTTCATTTATTTGTCCTCTTTCATGGACAAGTACTTCAGTGTAAATGCGTTTACATTCCTCCTATTCTTTAATCTCTTAACCTTTAACAAAAGAGTTTTGAATCTGGCTGGCTCTCTCGCGAGAAGTGAATCACACTTGCTGTGTTGTGATTGGCTGTTCATCATGATGTCACACATTCACCTGCACGTGCTCCACAAACTCAAGATCAAAGCCTGAGTTGACAAAGAAAGTTGATGATCAGCATCATGGTACCAATAATGCTGGATTGGATTGGAGTGGTTTGGTTTTGTCAACGCGAAACTAAACCTGTAACTGAATTTGTTCATCTACCATCATGGTACATGTTTCATAAAACAAGTTTACCAAATAAGCCAGGTTTATTTCAGTTAAGGGGCGGTCACACTAGACTTTGAACGTGCGAAATTTTTTCGGACGCTGCTGCGAATATGGGCGGGAGCAGGATATGACAATAATAATAATACACTTGTGTATAATAATTATATTGTTCTCTCTCTCTCTCTCATATATATATATATACACTAAGCAATAAAAAATGATAAAATGTGTCCGCATTCAAATGTACCGTCTGTTCCTGTTTTCATTGACACCGCGAACCATGCAGCTTCATTTTTTATTTGATTTTTATAATCTTTTAAAGATGTATTATATAAAATAGGATGCTGCGCTACGGCTAAAATGAGCACTTCCTCCATTTTTGAATTTCTGTACAGAGAGGTCATGCAGTGACGTATCGATCTTCTACTGGTCACACGTCTTCACGTGATGCGAATTCGCAGGTCAGAGTTCACCAAACGTAAACTTTTTGGAATGCAGCGAAATGCGAAATTTTTCGCATGAGCTTGCGTTTTTCTGGTCTGACTCATTCGCATGCTTATGAATGGAAGTCAATGGAACGAAAAGTGCAGTGTGACCGCCCCTTTAGTCTGACTTCTTGTCAGTTGATTTGGTTCAAAATAAGTTAGACTTACTGAAATAAGCCTGGCTTATTTGGTAAACTTGTTTTATGAAACAGGCCCCTGGAGGGCATAAACATCAGATGATGTAAAAAGCATCACCTTCATTCTCTTCCTCTGAGAGCTCCTCTGGTCCAGCCAATGGTAATATAAGGTATGGTAAAATATCCACCGCATCACTGAGCAACCACTCATGATGAGCTGTATGGACAAAAGGCATGTTTAATGAGAATTAAATGCATTTTTGTTCATTTGTCTTTGACGTATTTTTGCATTGGCTTTGCTTTCAATTATGAAATTTGCAGCAATCAAATCACATGCTCTTTACATTTACATTTATTCATTTAGCAGACGGTATTACCATAGATTACTAAGCCAATCTCAAGCGTTAAGATATAATTTAAAGAAATAAGAATAACTCTTACTATAGTCAAAGCAGCAATTTCTGAGCGTTCCCACCACCCCTCCTCGCCTGGTGCTCGATTCCTCGTACTGTGTGTACGGCAGGAGCCTCTGAATCACACACCTGTAGAAACACATATGAAACAATCAGGACTTAACACTTTATTAATGTCATACTATCTAGTACCACTGTATTACTGTGCTTTTGGAGATGTACCATGGTAATATAATGTTTTTTGACAAAACCATAATACCATTATTTTGGACATGTACCAAGGTAATATGCTTTTTTTGTTTTTACACATATCATGATAATACCATATTCTGAACATGTATTACGGTAATATTGTGGAGGGTTTTTACACGTACCATGATGATACCAATGTTTTGTTATTGTTCGTTTTTATATCCACACCATGATAATGATAATACCATGTTTTTGGATATGTACCATGGTAATTTTTTAACCCATACCATAATAATATGTTTTTAGACATGTACTAGTGAAATATTATGTTTTTTTTTAAATCTGTACTAATGATAATACCATATTTTTATAGATGTACTATGCTAATATAATAGGGTTTCTTTACTCATATCATGATAATATCATGTTTTTGGACATGAACCATGGTAATGTTTTTTTAACCCATACAATAATAATACCTAGGTGGTTTTTGTACGTGAACTATGGTAATAATGTTTTTGTTTTTTTTATCTGTACCATGATAATACCATATTTGTACTGAGTTAATGTTTTTTTTTAGCTTTTTTTTTTTTTAAACCTGTACCATGATAATACTGTTATTGGACATGTACTATGGTAATATTTTGTTTATACCATACCACATACCATGTTTCTATGTAATGTCGTGAAAATATAATGTTTTTACTCATACCATGGATCTGGAAATAGTACTATGATTAGTACAGTGTAATTTTGTATGTAATCATTCAGTACTGTAGTATTATCAGTACAGCTTACCTGTCCTTGTCCAGAATGAAGTGGCGTGCCTCGGGCAGCTGTGTGAGGTTGGACAGCAGGGGTCCCAGATAATGAAGTGAAGCTTTCTTATTGAATCCCTCCGTGCAGAAGATCTCCACCACTTTGTCCAGTCCGATCTTCTGCTCCTGCAGAGCGCTGAACACATCTCTACACGTCCGCTCGTGTCTGCTCAGGTTACTGAGGATAGTACAGATCCGATCCGCAAACATATACTCCGGGTCCAGGAGGTTCTGGAACAGTATGGCCAGTAAGTCCGTCTCTTTGACCAAAGGCTGGTGAAGAGTCTCGTCCGCCGAGAGGTTAATCAGGGCATGATAACAGTCCTTGACAATGGCGATGGAAGGGTCGCGGGTCAGAGTCACCAAGGCTTTGAGAAAGTCTGGCTTGGACCGCAGGTACCGGCACCCATCCCGGTTTCCTGTGAGGCCCAGGATGTATCCCGTGGCCTGACCTTTGACATCAGCTCTCATCTCCAGAGTGAGAAATGACAGCAGTTCTTTAGCTTCACCATCACTAAGCATTGTGGCTAGGTCTGTTGACAGACTCAGATTCTTGTTTTTTTATTCAAACTGCAAAAGAAAACACAGACCGTCTAAGCACTAGCTTAATAATAACCTTTAGACAGCTAGAATCACAAAATAAAATAAGATACAAATAAACAAAAATTGGATTAAAATAAATAAATACATTAACAGTAAAGCGATATAATGAGTAGAAAAATTTAATAAGACAGAATCAGAATAAAAATAAAATAATATAAATAGTAAAAAAAAAAAAAGAGATAAAAATAAGAATTTGATTAAAATATATAGCATAAAATGTAGATTAAAATAAAGAAACGGATAAATAAAAATTTGATTAAAATAAGAAAACAAATAACACATTTTACAGTACAGTGCTATAATGAGATGGAAAAGCGTAATAATTTACTTAATTGAAACTCAATATTTTCCAAGTAATATTTAGACAAATATATAATCTTTTAAGAAACTATACATTTTTGGATCGTACGAGGGTAATCATTTTTGCCGCTGTTTGGCATCTGAAATATTGAAAAAAAACCTGCCTTAGTGTATCTCAAAATGCCATGGTATTACCATCATTGTATCATGGCAACACAGTACAGTTTTTTGTAAAGAGTCCAGATTTATTACGATAGTACAGTTTGTGCACTACAATACTTCAAAATTATAATCATAACAACTGATCATTACATGTTTACACTATTCAACTGAATATGCAAAACCAAAAATCTGACCTGATCAGCGATCTACAACTATAAAAGGCATGTTTAAATATGTGGTATAAAACAAAATCATTTCGTTTTCATTAAATTATTTGTTGAAAAAGAATATACTTGCCACATTCACGATATACAGAACACATGTGCGTTGAATGTAGTTCCTGCTGTAGGAATTGACATGTCGCTTATCCAATCGGATTACAGTTTACTCAAATCTTCCCGCCCTCATTTATTATGCACTGGCATATGATTGGGCGATTAACTCCAAGCTCCGCCTTCGCAGTCTTCTTCTCGCGCTTTGTGATGACGCAGTCATTTGCGTTTGAAACATGGCAGCAGTTCAAGTAAGCGAAGCGGAGAAGGTTTATATTATGCATGGAGTTCGAGTAAGTAAAATCGCACGTTTTTTTTTAAGTTTTTAGTTTTATTAAACGTGTTATGAAAGAAATAATTTGAACATCCGAAAAAGTCGCTATTCTGTAGCCTATCTGATGATTTCATGTGGTCTGTGTTGTTGTACTCGTGCCGTACGTATTACTTAAGGGTCCCAGATGTGCTGACATAATTATTGTATTTCTAAAATTTGCCCTTTATTCTCATTTAAAATTCGCTTGATATGTAATCAAAAGGCAATTTGACAGCTGTTGTAACAAAGGTGGCATAGACTGTCATTCAGGATAGAAACATTTTTCTGCTTGGTGTCAAGCAGAAACCCCCTGTAGAAAATCAACAAATGATATGTTATCACATTAACCTGATACTTTTCTGAGACATCATAACATGAGGGTTAAATAATGAACACTGTTGACAGGATGACCTGAGATTGGACGGGCGAGGATGTGAAGACTACAGACACATGGAGATCGAGACGGATGTGGTGTCAAACACTGATGGTTCTGCTAAAATCAGTCTTGTAAGCTGAATTAAACAGTCTTTCTGTGTAAAAATAGCATGTGGTGTTCTATGTCACCAGCATTTTTGTAAATCATTTTGTTGTGTGATGTGTTTGACAGGGTCACACAGATGTTCTTGTAGGAGTAAAGGCAGAGATTGGTAAACCCAAACCCATGGTGCCAGATGAAGGCTATCTGGAGTTCTTTGTGGACTGGTGAGTGTTTAAAGATCATCAAATTTATAAGTACAAAATAGACATCAAGCATGCACCATGACAGCCACTCTGTAAATCACTATGCCAACATGACTGTGCAAAAAATCATAATAATAAAACGTGAAGTACTGTACATGGAATTTAGACCTATGCATGTGTATATGCATATTGAGCTATATTTTTATTTACATACTATTGTAGTATTTATTAATATTTTGAATTAGCTTATACTGTTATATTTTAGGTTTTAATTTCAATTAAAAACAATTTAGTAATTTTGTTGTGGTTTAATTTTTTTTTTTTTATATATATATATATATATATATTTCTATTTAGCCACAGTTTTTTTTTTTACTTCATTTTAAGCTTGTTTCAGTTAGTTGCCGAGGCAACGTTTCAAAATTTTACAAACATAAGTTTTTCATCCAATATTTATATTTGATATTTGTTGACACATGGAGATCGAGACGGATGTGGTGTCAAAACACTGATGGTTCTGCTAAAATCAGTCTTGTAAGCTGAATTAAACAGTCTTTCTGTGTAAAAATAGCATGTGGTGTTCTATGTCACCAGCATTTTTGTAAATCATTTTGTTGTGTGATGTGTTTGACAGGGTCACACAGATGTTCTTGTAGGAGTAAAGGCAGAGATTGGTAAACCCAAACCCATGGTGCCAGATGAAGGCTATCTGGAGTTCTTTGTGGACTGGTGAGTGTTTAAAGATCATCAAATTTATAAGTACAAAATAGACATCAAGCATGCACCATGACAGCCACTCTGTAAATCACTATGCCAACATGACTGTGCAAAAAATCATAATAATAAAACGTGAAGTACTGTACATGGAATTTAGACCTATGCATGTGTATATGCATATTGAGCTATATTTTTATTTACATACTATTGTAGTATTTATTAATATTTTGAATTAGCTTATACTGTTATATTTTAGGTTTTAATTTCAAAATAATGATCTTTAAAATAGCATCATATGACCCCTTTAATTTCAATTAATGAAAACCATTTTTATTAGTTTTAGTATTAATTAACAATAACAACACTGGTCTGGAAAAGTCATTGAAATTTCTGTAGTGAATATATTTATAGTTTAGTGTAGTATAGAATATTTAATGGTTCTGTTTAAGAAGTTGTTCCATTAGCTATATTTAGTACATCTCAGGATATTTATCTCAGGTTTATTTATACTAAAAAGTTTAACCATTAAATCATGTAAATTCCAAGGATTGATGCATAAGATTCTGAGATACCCATTTAATAAGACAGTATGCAGTTTTTTTGACCGTTTAGTCCATGTATGTACACAGTGGGAGCTGTAATTGACCAGTGCAGGTACTTCAGTGTATGACTATGCAATTTAGCAATGAATATCCATAGATGATGCATGTTTATATGTTCATGATATGCAAGCTGATGTCACATCAGTTTACTGATAGAAAATGAGCATGAAATGCTTGTTGCTTTTGTAGCTCAGCAAACGCCACTCCAGAGTTTGAGGGGCGTGGAGGGGAGGAGCTGGGGGTGGAGCTTAGTAACACACTCTATAAAGTGTTCAACAACAGACACAGCGTGGACCTGCGTTCCCTCTGCATCTGTCCCGGAGAGAACTGCTGGGTGCTGTACGTGGACGTGTTGGTGAGTGACCCGCATAGCCGTCCTGAAGAGGGTGAATGAATGAAGAAATATTTTCATTCAATACTAGGAAATTGTGATATCTATATACTGTTGATTTATCATTAATTTAAATGTCTACTTATGTACGCAGCTGCTGCAGTGTGATGGAAACCTGTTTGATGCCATATCCATTGCGATAAAAGCTGCTCTGTTTAATACACGGTAAGTAACCGCATGTCGTTTTCCATTAAAATCCTGACAGCTGTAAGGTTTCTATTGGACAATGTTAAAACTGTGGCAGGCAGTGCTACAACTGGCATATCTTTCTCTGCGCTCCCCATTTCTGTACAGGATGACATGTAGTTTTAGATTTTCTGATGTTTCCCTGTAATAAATCTCTGTGTTGCCTTTCCTCAGATGGATTTTATTGCCGGCTGTTTCCATGATGGTTTTGTGCTATATGCAAAAGCCCTCAGTGAAGCGTTAGCAGACGACGTGTCTCAGAATGATGGAATCAACATAACTAGGAGAATGCAAAACCGCAGGATCTGGGGTGTGTTGAGTGCTCCCAGTTTACAAATGCAAAGATATATGATTGATAAAAGCATTCAGAATATGACCCTATGATGCTTTGATGTTCATATCAATAGGATGATCACAGATTACAACATTTAAGCCCTTCACAGTTTGAGGACGTGATGACAAGTATCTCAGATTTTAACAGCAGTGTCAAGCTGAAGTGGTTTGGCAACTCTGCTCAGATTCTTTTTAAAGTGAGCAGAGGACTTGTAAGAGCTCTTCTGAGGTTGATGTCTGTAAACTCGCACCCTCTCTTGCAGGGAGTGTAGAGGTCAGAGTCCTTGATTTAAAGCATGTCCCAACTAGCTTGTGGATGGAAAATCTGTTTCTAATACACAACCCATCTACTAAACCCTCTCCCTGGAGGAAACTACACACACTGCGCCAAACACATACAGCAACCAGACAGAATCCTGAATGCAAAAAACTAAAAAAGTCTGGTTTTCAGTAAAATATTTAAACATGCTGAAAACAAGATACATTTAGAGAGAACAGAATATATCTTGAATTACATATTTTCCTACAGAGCCCTGCACATGATGCAACCAAAACAAGAGAACAGATTAGCGTAATAAAACTTGGCCACAATATCAATTTTTTTTCTGCATGTCATGTGTGGGGCTCCGTAGAAAAACAAGCAATTCAAGATATTTTCTATTATTTCATGATTTTGCTTCTCGACTAAACTGATCTTGAATTCAGTACATTTAAATATTTCTCTTCACAGCCACAATACGTTGTTTTTTTCACTCATGTCAAGTCAAGTCAACTCACCTTTATTTATATAGCACTTTTAACAATATAGATTGTGTCAAAGCAACTGTACAGCATTAATTAGAAAAATAGTGTGTGAATAATGCAAAATGACAATAATAAACACTAATTTTTCAGTTAAAGGCATGTCATGTATGGGTCTCCATATTTTTCAGTTTACAAAGAAAAAACTTGATTCAAGATATTTTCAAGATAGATTCTCTTAATATTTAACGTCTTAATGTTTTACAATTTACTTTTAAATTTTTTTTTTTTTTTTTTTTTACTTGCGGTACATTTAATAGACATTTTTTGGGGGCTTTTCTTTTCTCTTGGGGAAATATTATAAATTTCATCATATATATTTGTGAATGATTGAATATAATTTTTATTTATTTATTTTATTATTTAATAATATTGTTAATTTATTGTATACTATTCATTTAAGTATTGTTATTAAGAAAATCTGTTTAAATCTTGCTATTTTTGAGTTTGCCATAAATATAGTCTTTGATGCTGTAAAATGTTTCAAATAAATCAAGTTTAAATTTTTCATCTAATATTTTCTTTTCTTTCAGCTTTAAATAATTTAACAAAAGTGATTTTTAATAGTTTTAGTTTTAGATAACAATAGCAACATTGTTTCCAGGCCTGAAAAAGTCATAGAAATTTCTCTAATGATTTTTTTTTAGTTATACTCTACAATATTTTCTAACTATGTTAGTTTAGTTTAAGAGGTTTTCCCGTTAAAAGTAAACAGTAAACTCAGGACATTTGTGTTTTGAGCATATTATTTATTTATACTTAAACATTTAACCATTAAAGCATATACATTCCAAGGATTAATATGTCAGATACAAATATCAATCCACCCTGGGAGTCTCTATAAAATGATTTTAAAAGCCTTTATGCAGTAATCCTAATTGGAAAAGTCATTGAAATTCACTGCTTAAGCATTGTGGAAATCCCAAATAAACAATGAGGAACTTATCTGCATCCCCTTTCCCTTTTTCCCCAAACAGAATCCCCAAAGTGCACATATCTGAGGATGAGGAGGGAGTGAAGGAGATGGAGTTGTCAGACGACCCTTACGACTGCATGCGGCTCAATGTGGAAAATGTGCCGTGTATCGTAACCCTCTGCAAGGTACAGCACAGCCTGGAGCTGTTACCCACAATGCACTCATCTCATGTGCAGTTCTGTGTTTCTGTAGCTTTTATATATCGGATGTGTGTGTGTGCTTCAGATTGGTCACAGACATGTGGTGGACGCCACGCTACAGGAAAAGGCCTGCTCTGTGGCCAGTCTCCTGATTTCAGTCACACACAGAGGGACGGTCACGTGCGTCAGGAAAATGGGAGGAGGAAGTCTGGACCCAGAAAGTATCTTTGAGATGACAGAGGTTAGATCTTTTTTTTTTTTTTGAATGTTCTTGTTCTAATTATTAGTAGTGTTTTCTAAGGCATCACTTTTGTTCAAATTCCTAACTACAAGTATTATTATCCCTGTAAAGCCTGACATATGAAATGATAGTCAGAAAAATCTTTTTTTTTTTTTTTATGGAACAGTTTATTGAACCTTTAGACAAAATATAAAAGAAGAATCTTTACAGAAAAAAGTTTGCATGTGTGTCTTTTGTAGAGTATCTTATTTGATACATCAGGCTTTTATTGCTCATACAATATGATATAATGCTGATATTTATATTGACAAAACGTACGATTAAATTCTGATAGTTTTATAACAGTATAAAGGACTACTTGCAAAAATCATAAATATTAATTGTCATTCTATATTTCCCAATGATATGTCTTAGTAAGATGAAACAACTTGATTATCCATGATTTTATTTATTTATTTATATATATGTATGTATGTATGTGTATATATATATATATATATATTTATATATTTGTATTTGTATTTGTTTCAGTTTAGTAAGTGTTCATCTTGAAATATTTCTAGAAATATAAAATTTAGAGGCCTTCGAAATGTTTGTGAAATAAATAGGATAGAGTAGGCTTTATAGGGTTAAACTTTGGTGCTATATTAGAGAGTTTCATGCAGCTGGTACTGTTTATGTCTGCTTCTATATCAGAACAGACAGTGAGTCAGACTGGAGCTAACAACTGTATTTTTAATTTTTTCACACTTTCATTTGAAACCAGGTGTTTTTCATTTGTATAATAAATGCTTGTCTCCTGGTTAGGAGTTTCTGTTGACTGTTATCGTGTGTTCGTGTTATAGGCTGGGAAGCGTGTGGGCAAGGCTCTTCATGCGCCTCTCATGGAGCTGCTGCAGAAAGAAGAAAGTCTTGGCAAGAAACGGCAGAAAGTGGGATTCCTCGGATAGCTTCCTGTTTTGTACCTTTTTTTTGTTTGTTTGTTTTTCAAATAAATGAGCTAAATTGTCTATGACGTTTGTCATGTCCTGCTTAAAAACTTCAACTAACATAGAATCCCGTCTAATGTGAGCTTATATAACATGCTGTTTTTGTTTTCATTTTTCCAGCTGTCGTTTTAATGACCTCACTCAGACTAGCCCTCGGACTGCTGTTTAACAGATGACTGAATGTTAAATGATTCTTCTCTCAAATCAGTTTTTTTTTCCTATGTACGTTTTGAGCTGTTTGAGAGAAATTTGAGCACTTGATGTTTTTTTAATAACTGAATTTAATAGATGAGTAGAACAGAATACCCAGAATCCTTAAAGGAATAGTTCCGCAAGTAATCCACACGACTCCAGTCCATCAATTAACGTCATTTTTAGTGAAAAGCTGTGTGTTTGTAGTAAATAAATCCAATGTTAAGGTATTTTAACTTAAAGCTGTTGCTTTCAGCTAAAATACAAGTCCATAATCCATCTCTCTTCAGAGAAAAAGTCCATTCTCTGTTGTCATCTCGCATCAAAATCCACCAACATGGACTGTTTTGCTTCTAAACAAAATCTGTTCATATTTCTATCCTGATTCAGACTAGGTGACTTTTTCAATGGAGAACGCAATATTATGGATAGAAGACTCATTTCAGCAACAGTTTGGAGTTAAAAATGTCTTTATGGATTTATTTCTTAAAAACAAACAGCGTTACGCTTCACAAGATGTTAAATGATGGACTGGAGTCTTGTGGATTATTGTGATGTTTTTATCAGTTGTTTGGACTCTCATTCTGACGGCACTAGGTGACTTTTTCAATGGAGAAAGCAATATTATGGATAGAAGACTCATTTCAGCAACAGTTTGGAGTTAAAAATGTCTTTATGGATTTATTTCTTAAAAACAAACAGCTTTACGCTTCACAAGATGTTAAATGATGGACTGGAGTCTTGTGGATTATTGTGATGTTTTTATCAGTTGTTTGGACTCTCATTCTGACGGCACCCATTCAATGCAGAGGATCCACTGGTGAGCAAGTGATGTAATGCTACATTTCTCTAAATCTGTTAAAGAAACAAACTCATCTACATCTTGAATGGCCTGAGGGTGAGTACATTTTCAGCAAATTTTCAACTATTCTTTTTTTTTCATTTGTCCTAGAAAGGATATTTGATTTAATTGCGAATATTAGCTAAAAAAAAATGTTGTATACATTTGTGGAATATTCAGAGATTTTTGTAAGTTCACAGGTGCTGTAGTTGTCATTTTTTCCTGGGATGGTGTTAAGCTCACACCTGTGTCCAGCAGGACGTCTCGTCTGCGGAAGATCCAGCGGCTGTGAGCCTGGATATATTCCATCCCATAATAGCTTTACTTCTTCCTGTGGCACGGTGAATCCAAAACAAACAGCAGCAATCACTGCACAGATAACAATATCATACATGAGAAGAATGCATGATGGGAAATGTGTCCTGAGGAGACCTTAAATGCTCCAGGACTCTCAATGTGTATTAAGCAATTTGAGAACCTGCTTTTCTGAATCAGTCAATTCATTCTAAATATGAGTCCAGGTTTATAATCTGCTATATAACTCATAGGAGCTTTTTAAAGGGATAGTCCGCCCAAAAAATAACATCAAAGAAAATATTTTAAAGAATGTCGGTAACTGAAGTTTTGGTTCCCATTGACTTCCATGATAGAATTTTCATTTTTGGGTGATCCATTGCTTTAAATGAGTGGGAAAACATACTGGGCAAAGAAACCGGGACTTGTTGTCACACTTAAAAACTGCCTATATATATACAGTATGTATATACACTCTACTATAAATAACTCCACTGTTGATTTTTTTATCTAATAATTTATCTTGAAATGATACCCCACATTTAAAACAAGTCTATTTCCACATACTTTTAGCTAAATTTAAAAAGGAAATTTATGTTGAAAATGTTGAAGGTAACAAAAATCAAACTATTCTGGGCAACAGATAATGTAATTAATATTTTATAAGTATTAAAAAAACAATTACACTGTCCTGTTCTTGTCTAGAGAACATTATTCAACTTTTTAATGAAGTTCTACTTTTGTTATATACAGTTAATTGACTCTTGTTTTAATGTATGTTATTGTGGCTTTATTGTCTTCACATTTTTATATTACAATTACTTGAATTTTAGCTTGGAGGACATAATTCACAAAATGTATTCTGTGTGAAACCAGCACACGGTGTGTAGTTTATGTAACTCTTCCAGCCATGAGCTTTAAGCGTGAGGATTGTTGAGTGTGTGTGTGTGTGTGTGTGTGTGAGGTGTATGAGGACGTCACTCCTCCTCTCTGCTCAGGATGAAGACCAAACGCAGCAGGTTCTTATTACAGCAGTTTTCCTCTGTGAGCTACGCTGAGATCTCTCCTCATTCTCCAGACTTCACCATGAGACTCCGAGACGGCTGTCTTCTGCTGGGGGTCCTGCTGCTCCTCACACACACCTCACACCAGCAGAACGCTCCCAAAAAGAAACCCAATGCCAAAAAAGGTGAGACGGGATGGTTTTTGTTCATTTTTGTTGAGTTTCGTCTGCTTTGTGTGAATTCTAAATGTTGAAAAAAGTTGCAGAGCATCGCTGTGTAAAGCATATTTTCTTTAAAAGTTGCTGTTTGAAGAAAAGTAAACTCAGTTTCCTACTCCGTAAGCATAGATATGTTTAATACATTTAGCATTGATATGTTTAATACATTTGGGTGTGTTTTTAATCTTAACATAACTAATTTTCAATTTGAATCAGTTTAACACAATTGATTCTCAAGGTTCAAATTAAATTTGATCTATTAAAAGTTCAATTAAAATACAACTGAATGATCACTATTTTTAATATAATCAATAATGATGATATAAATAATTTAATAAATAATATAAGTACATTTAATTACATTTATTAAAATGTCTTAAATATATTAAAGAAAAATTACATATTTATTTATTTATGGTGATTCTCATTACCATACCACTTTTTAAAATCAGTATAAATTACATCATCTTAATGGTTTTAAAATAGGCTTCATTTACTTCATGCATAATTTTAGGGTCAAACAGTTTTTTTGTTTGTTTTTTTTCCTGTAATCCATCCTAAGATCTCTCTATCTATAAGACTCAGATACTCGAGCCAGCGCTGCTTTGGAGGACCTGCAACAGCAGATCAATGGCATTGTGGTGGAACTGAATCTTCTAAAGGAGAAGCAGGCCCTGCAGACTGGTGAGAACTTCATAGAGTTTCCCCATCACACCTTAAATCCATCTGCATTAGTGAAGCATCTAGACAATATTTCTAACCTAGTCTAATTGACTCCCCCCCCAAAAAAAGGGATTCTGTTTGGCCCTTGAGCTCAAAAAAACAAAATGTTACTGTAGACTGTGGCTTATTGTTTGGATTAGAGTTTATACACTTACATAAAACACATGGCCTCCACGTGTCACTTTTGATGATTTTTTCAGCTTGTGTTTTCCCTGGAGAACATTGAGTCAGATGTCGTCCAGTGTTTGATGTATGAGGAAATCTTGAGACAAATATGTGTTATATTTCATTAGACTATACAAATATCTGAAAAATTGTTCATAATATATCAAGAAGCAATGGCAAAATTGAATTTGAATTCAAACTCAATTCAGCTTTGTTCAGAATAGCATACTACTATACTATTATTACAGTATGTAGTATACATACTAACATTTTTATATGCATTTAATACTCAGATATGTAGTATATGTGCCAAAACGTCTTTTTTTTAACCCACTGTTTCATCTGATTGCCAACAGATATGTCTATTTGCACAAAATTGGGATGAAAAAAAGCAAAAGAACAGTATAGTTATTGCAAAGAATGCACTGAATTAAACATGGCATGCATTTAGTTTTTTCCAGTATTCAAGCTAAACTAATATATACTTAAAAATGTTGGCAACTAGATTAAATAAAAGTTTTATATAAATTTATTTCAAATAATGACATTTTCATAATGGTTTTAGTTACCAATAATAACACAGGTCATGTGACACTGAAAACTGGAATAATGATGCTGAAAATTCAGCTTTTCATCATTGGAATAAATTACACTAAAATATATTCAAATAGAAAACCGTTATTTTAAACTGTAATAATATTTTACTATTTTTACTGTATTTGTAATCTAATAAATGCAGGCTTGGTAAGCATACAGCAAGAGACATTCAAAAACACTCCAGAAAATAAAATCATAATTATTCCAAACTTTTGACCAGTAGTGTACTTACCCGTGATCTCTGGACTAATGCCGAATTTTAAGAAAGGTCCTTTTTCCTGGCTCAGGTCTTTTATGGTTTTAGGAGTTACAGTGATGGAAACGTTTCCTTTGATTTGGATTTTTTGGATAGTGCCTTCAGCTGCAGAGCAAAACTGGCCGATGTTGGAGCCCTCGGTCTCAGAGATCAGCAGCGAGACTCTCTCGTTACACTGCTTGTCTGGCAGAGACTGGTGCAGGTAGCTTCCCTTTGGAGACATGAGATCCACGGTGCTTTGATCCCGCAAACGGAGCAGCCAGGTGAACTGATGGAGGGGAACAGGAAGGCTAGGGTCCAGAGTGGGAATGGTGAGGGACGGCCCGGTCACATCACGGGCAGACACACTGGGACAGTCTATAATTATATTGAGGAAAGGGAAGACGACGAACAAATCAAAATAAAGTGGTGAATGAATCTCAAAATGATTCTGTCAAGATTGTGATTTAATGAATATATAAATCACTTCTGCAAAAGGATCAAAGGCTGCCATGCACAAATACTGATAGATTTGTTGTATGTTTACATCGGACAGATGGATTTTCTGGAATGACATTCAGGGTTTTCAAAATTGTCATTTTGTCAACTTTGAACTTTTGTCAAAAAAAAGTCTAAAATCCTTGCTATACTATCCTACAAAAAAATATTGTAATGAACGGTGCAAAAAAAAAAAAAAGCTCCTTTTCCATTCATGAGTTCAATTTTAATTTAATTGGCCACACCCCAAAGGAAGTTGAATTGGAATTCACTGAACTGCAATTCAAAGAAAATTCAACACAGGTAGTGCTTTCTGGAAAATGAAGTCCTCTTCTGGGTTATTATCATTAATTTAATTAAAACAATAAAACATTTTCATTACAAAAGCTTAACCGGAATAAAATCTTTAAAAAAAAAATTACATTTAAAAGAGTAAAAAAAAATCGAATTTTCATTTAGTTCTATCTATCTATCCATCTATAAAATTGTTGATTTTGAAAAATTAGAGCATTGAAATTTTATTACCTTACATTCAAATTCTATATTCTGCTTGACGCTGAATTAAATTTGAGACCACAGGTGACATTACATACATACCACAAAACAAAAACAGCCAGAAGAGCTGTCAGCACATCAGTTGCAATGACTAGACAAGAGAAGTCTGTGTGATTTTACTTCTCTGATGAGTTTAAGCCAGATCAAACAAAGTATTTTTTCTAAATCTAAAGATTTTCCTTTCCATTGTGTTAGAAGGTTCTTTAACATTGTGACATATAACTGAGCTGTAGTTACCTATGACTTTGGTGGCTGTCAGCTGCAGATCCTGCACGGGGCAGTCGAGGAAGGACAGGTCAGCTTTGGTGCCCGCAGGAACCACTATTTTCTCCTGCATCACAGAGTTCAAGCTCATTTCACAGTACGACTCCGGGTTTTTATTTTCTATTTGCAGACTCAATCCCTCCTCGTTCCGGAGATCCACAGTGCAAAGATCTGAACAGAATAGGAAGATGAACAGCATGTTATTTATCAGCAACTTAGAAGCATGAAATATTCAAGGTACCAAACTGACCCTAAAAACTCAAAAACAATGATTTCAGACACAAAACCAAAGTTATAGGCTCATTTTTTCCTTACATGGAGTCCCACTCCTGAACACCTCCACGTTGAAGTTCAAGGAAAGCCCAGGAACATTCGCCACTTTCTTTGCATCACAGTTGGCCAGAGTCAGGCTGAAATCTCCCTGTTTATTAGCCGGTTGAGTTTCTGTTGGGGCCACTGTGAATGAAGTCTTGTCTCCCAGTGAATAATCACACATAACAGTTTTCTTTTGGCATTCTGGTGGAGCGTAATGTTGAAAGCGAACAGTAAAATTGTGCATAGGCTTAAGAGCAAAGTTCCACTTCATTTTTTGTTCATCGTAGTAGCCTGTGGCGTAGTTTGGAGTAAAGAAATCAACAGAAAACGGTCCTCTGGGCAGCTTGACATCCATCTCAACTACTCCTAGAGATGCAAAAAACAAGGAATAAAATGATTGCAATCAGAAGCTAAACACTAATGAAGTTAAGTAAAATCACTCATTCTAACCTGTTGCTGCTGGTCCCATGGACACTTTGAAGTCAGATGAGTTCAGGTCTGTACCTTTGGGAACCTCCAGAGTCACTCGACCTCTATACAAGACCTGGATACGGCTGATGGTACCGTTCCGACAGAACGAGCCGATGTTGGCCGGTCCTGCACGCTGGTATGCGGTGATGGTGTAGGTGTGTTTGTCTGGACAGGATTCTGAAGGCTTGATCTGTCTAATTCCTGGAGATGGGAAGTCTAGCTGGAACACCTTGCCGGACTGAACCTTCAGATCCCAGGTAAAGGTTCTGGTGAACTCCAGGAATCGGGTTGAATCCGGATGCACTGCAATGATGCTGCAGTCTGTTGTTGAGCAATCTGTGTAGAGATTTAAGTGATTTGTATTAAGTGGATAATTCAGAATCTGCATGTTGTTACTCACCGATTTCTTGGTTGATCGCCACATTAAAGACGTCCCCCGGTTGAGAGCAGTTGAAAGTTACGGTGGTGGGCTGAGCTTCAGTAAGTCTGAGGTTGGAGTTACAGGTTTGAGACGGACCTTCATCCTTACACACGCTACAGTCCAGACCATGTCCTGCCTTTTTGCTGAAGATTACGATGGTGCCAGAGTCAGGGGTCACTTCTATTTTATGACATTCTGCAAAAAATAAATAAATACATATTTTTATATGTATTTTACAAAATTTGTGGAATGCAAAGTAATGTATTGAAATTGATATTTGTTGCTATTACCTTAAAATGACTTTCCGTTTTTTTGTGTGATTTTCTCTCTCTCTTTCTCTCCCTCTCAGTTTAGACTGACTTTTTGTTTATTGGTTTTATACTGTTTTTGCTTTTTGTGAACAGGCCTTTATTTGGACTTATTCTATTAGAAAAATGATGCAATAAAATTCAAATCAAGCATTGAATTCCTCTAGACTGTTCTTGGACACAGAGTTGCCCTACAAAATGATCAATACAGAGCCACGTAAACGAACAGCTTGAATAAAGCAGAGAGTTGTAACCCACATGAAAGCAAACAGAAAAAAGAAACACAAAGAACTGATTCACACAAGGTAAAAGTTTGAACAGGAAGAGTCCATGAACCAACATAGCCGCGCATTACACTACACTTGTCAGGCATTCTGGGATCCTCCCTAATTAAGAAAAAAAAAGTGCCTTGCCCATAATAACTCTGAGAAATGCTGACGTTGCAGAAAGTTTGGTGCATGATAGAATGTCCATATGCTTCATATAGTGCCTATTAGAAATTAGGCTTAGATGTTGGTTGGTAAAGTCTACTTTGGTCAAACACTGGTCAAATGCATCGAGATCTCGTACCTCACTTGATCGAAAGATGTTTACAAGTTTAGACATGATTTCGATTGCACAAATCTAACTTTCAACAAAACAGAAGCAACCACGCAGAAGAGAAACATCCACACTGTCTCACATTACCCCATGAGAATGACTACAACATCTGCAAATATTTATATAACACACACCTCTCCAGCCTCTAGATATTCTAAACTAAATCCATCAATCTAGACCAGGGGTAGGCAAGTTCGGTCCTAGAGAGCCACAGTCCTGCAGAGTTCAGCTCCAACCCTAATCAAACACACCTGAACAAGCTAATCAATGTCTTCAGGATTAGCTCTCTAGGACCGAACTTGCCTAGCCCTGATCTAGACCATCAATCAACATCTTGTAAAGCAGACAAAGTTCTAATCCATAATAACGTTTCCTGCAGTGAAAAAGTCCATCTCCTGTTGTCTCTCACACCAAAATCCACCAATAACATAGAACTGTTTTTGCTTGTGGACGGTGCTTGATCTGTTTCCCTCTTAATTCTGACAACATGATGTTTTCATAAAGCAATATTATGGATAGAGAACTTGTATTTTGGCCAGATACAATGGTTTAAACCTAAAAATGTCTTCATGATGGATTTGTTTCTTACAAACACACAGCTTTTCACTTCACAAGACGTTCATTGATGGACTTATCAGCTGTTTGGACTCTCATTCTGACGGCACCCATTCACTGCAGAGGCTCCATTGGTGAACAAGCGATGTAATGCAACATTTCTCCAAATCTGTTCCGATGAAGAAAAACTCATTTACATCTAGGATGGCCTGAGAGTGAGTAAATTTTCAGCAAATTGGTAAAGTATTCCTTTAACCAAGTTATTTGTTTAACATAACTGTTAAAGTTGTATGTGGAAGATATACAATGGAAATCCCAAATGTGAGTTTGTTTTGATGTACATTTTAAGGCATCCGTGGCATTGAAAAAAGAACAAATCTGTTACCCAAACTTTCAAATAACCCATTAAACTAGACACAAATCCTTTTAGCTCTTTTTAGTCATTCAAAATCACAGCTCTGACCGTCAATACATCTGCAACACTTTGAAGGTCACTTCCCACGCTGTGAAAATGAAAGTCCATTGTCCCTAAAGCTGAAATGTCAATAGAAAAGCAAACACTGACATTCTCAGACAAGCATTTCACTATAGAGAAAACAGTGAAAGTCTTATGCTTTTCCCTCCCTGCCCAAGAGCATGTTACAGTAAACCGCCCTCCATTTGTACAGTAGCAGATTGTTAGTCAATAATTAACAAGTTATTTTTCACAGCATCTGTCATATATGCAAATGACAGTGCTAAGCCATAAGGGAGGCCAGATTCAGATCTGCTGGGAAGAACAGTGGATATTAGTCATTTTATATGCATTAATGTAAGAATTTGTTATCAATACCCATCATGGTTCAATGAAATGAAGTGTCTCAATATAAAAACGCAACAAACCCTCCCAGCAGCTCAAACTGTCAAATCATTAGCCTATACCTGATCACTTTTTAAGCTTTTAAGGTCAAATATATCTATATATTTCATGGGCAATATTTCAATTGCTCGGAATATTAAACCTTAACAAACGATTAATAAGCGAAAAATGACAGTGACAAGGATGGTAAAAACGAGTTTGGGGTGTTGCTTCTTTGTAGACTCACCTGAGATTTTGTGAATCTGCAGTAAAATCAATCCCATGAACACTGGAAACACGCATGAACCCATCGTTCTCCTTCAGAGGTTACTGAACTTTCCAAAGTAATATATGTGTGTGTGTGTGTGTGTGTGTGTTGTTTGATTTAAACCCTTGGATCGTGCATGGTGGATTGAGTTTGTCTGACAACACAGGCGCTTCCTGATTCTGATACCTGTTGTGCTCAGAGAAGGGCGTGTGCGCGCGCAAGTTACCTGTCCAAACTTGCGTTCGGGATCCAACAGCTGGAAAAACGCGACTGCATTATTCAAGAAACAGTTTAACTTACATTAACCGAAGAGAATCTGATAGATCCAGGAGATTTAATCATAAATTCACGCATAAATCAGGAAATAATAGATTAACACTTCGTTGAATTTTTCAGAGACAAAATCCACCCGATTTAACGTCTGTGATAGTTCACGTTTACAAAATAAACTAACATGATTTTAGGTTTTCCTCAGTCAAGATTGATTCAGCCCTGCATGAGGACATCGCGTAATATTCATGAGTCAAGCGGCTCTCTATTGGAAGGTTTTCTAGAGAACGTCATCACAACTTATTAATATTCATGAGCCACTCCTTCACTGTGGCAGGATGCGTGATTTCGCCCAGTGGTAGTTTAGGTGTTTATGAACAGAAGTTGTTGACTGTTATTAAACTATGTAGCATTATTTTAATTATTATCTTTTTTTAACTGTTTAAACTCCCCTTTGATTTATGTTGTCTTGATCATTTTTAAACTATTTTAATATTTATTGATAATAATTTTAATGCAATTGTTATTAATAATTAAATACATTATACTGTGTAAATATCTCAAGGAAAATGTGTCAAATTAATGTTATTTTAATTATGCAATTTTTTTTCTCACTTACTATTGTGCTTTGAAGTAATGAGTCCGCGCATGCCCGCAGACAACAGCATTCCAGTCATTTCAATGCCAACAGCCCGGAGCAAAAGTCACCAAACACGAACAGATAACTAGATTAGATAACCCATCCAACAGGTATCACAAGAGACAACACTTTCATTATGTTTCTTGTTTTGTTTCCCCCTTTCTGATCTCATACATCCATTTACATACCATTAAAACTATGTGACTGCAGGAAATGGATTACTGAAATGCATTTATTTAGTGTGGAGTATGTCATCTATGATTGATCATCAAAGCATTCAAATAGAAAATTGTCCCATTAATGGGCTATTGTCTCATAACTGAGCCCTGTGGTTACAGATTTTGGTGCCTTTAAATGACCGTTTTTCACACACTAAAATCTTTCCTACAAGCAAAACACTCAGCGCCATTATGTCATTTTCCAAAAGAAAGATACATTTCTGAAAGGTATAAATAATTAATTCACAATCTGTTAAACCCTTTTTGCTCCATAGACAAAACCAGCATTCACTAGCCAGCACTCAATCAGCAGAAACCTGTGGGAATGAGAAATTCATCTTCAGACAATGGATGTTGTGATGCAGAAGACAACATAATGTTATGTTGATGTTTGTTACTGTGTATATTCAGAAACCTTTCTACTGATTTGACTGATATCATTGTGATATTTGGTGGAAATGGCTCTTTATTTTAGATTTTATTTTATTAAAAAGACATAATGAAAAATCTGTATATTATATTGGTAAAAATATTCAGAAACATGTCCACTGATTAATCTTTACTATGTTGTGCTTTTTGCATTACATAACTTAATCTGTGTGACATTAATGGCTGTTTTAACAAATAATGGTACTTTGATTGAAGCAATTCTTAATGAATCTAATTTTTGACTGTCAGCCCAAATCCGATTTTGTGCATATCTAAATGGAATCTGATTTGAATAACTGACTGTCCACACAACGTATTGCAACTGTTCTTATCCGATTTGTGTGTCCATAAGCGATCTTTCATTTTTACGGAATGTGCATTGGTTTCTATGGTAATGCCGTTGCGTTGTTATGCCTACGCTAAAAACAACAGTAACAACAATACAGTTTGCAATACAGATGTTGTCTTACGACATGACAACATGTTGCTGTTGCAGCTGCGCTGTATTATTATATTTCGTCTTGTGAGGCAGCGGCAGAAACGCAGGAAGCTGGAATGTGCGGCTTTATTCGGTGCTGCCGTCTCCGCTACATTCAAAACTCGAAGAGGTGCGTAAACTAGCAGTATATTGTGTTTTTCCGCTTGACTTGCACTTCACAATGACACAAGCTTGTTTCTGCAAAGATGTTCAGCATGTTTTCTGCAAAAACATCTGACGTGTTTACGTGAGGACTTGACCGGTCCGACCGGTCAGACTGAAACAGAATTCCAGAAATGCGATTTGAATAGGATTCCAAACCACATACGAATGTAGCTCGAAAGTGGTGCTTCACAACATGTTAATTTTACGCACGTCAATATAAACTCAATATCATGTGCATGTTTTCTCATCTCCTCGACGCAGGCCAGGAACTGAAAGGGAAGGCATTTTATGACTTTTCAGGACGGGTGTTCTGTGAGGAGGATTATTTGGTCTGTGGTCTGGTCTTGTTTGTTAATTATTTCTTAAATTAAATTTAGAAGATTGTGCTTTTAATGCTTCCTTTGTTTTGTAGTATTCCAGCGTCAAGCACTTCGCAGAGGTCTGCACATCCTGCGGATATTTAATCACAGATATGGTCAGCCTGAAAAGCATTCTGTGTGTGTTTTAATGGATAGAAAGAATGTTGTTTAATGTTTCCTACCACATGATCTATTAGTAAGATGACCTCTCTGGCCCCTTTAGGTGCTCCAGGCTTTGGGAAAGTCCTTCCATCCTGACTGTTTCCGCTGTGTCATCTGTAATGAGAAACTGGAGGGACAGCCGTTTAGTGTCGACACACAAAACAAGATATATTGTGTGAAAGATTACCACAGGTGAACAACACACTGACATGTACAGTCTGCACAGACAACGGACATACAGTGAATATAAAACCTAGTTATTCATTAATGGTCTATTAGATTAAATCCTAATCAAATTTCTTTGAGTGTCTGTTGACACTTTAAACATTTTTTTTTTTTTTTATATATATATATATATTTTAACCATTTTATTGCCTAGAAAAGCAACCCAAGTTATATAACACGTGAATATTCTTTGATTGTTATGTCTGATTGTATTTTATTTGGCCTAATTTTTGTTTTATAGGATTCTGGCACAGACATGTGCTATATGTGAACAGCTCATCCTTCCTACTAAGGTATATTTCTACAGTTTTTATTATTAATATTTTTATTTTGCAGATATTTTTTGATATCACGTGTAATATTTGATATCATATACAGAACATCTATTGGATAAATAATCATGCTTGAAATAGTGACTTCTTTTTTTTAATGTACACAGGGTTCAAATGAGATTGTGCGAGTGATGTCCATGGGAAAAAGCTACCACGTGGCCTGTTATGAAGGAAAAAGCAACATTTAATCACTGTTCAGTCTGAAGAAAATAATAATTATTCATTGTTTATGTTTTTGTACCACTGTATTGTTGTTAAGTACCATGTAATTGATAAATGTTGACATGAAAATTTAATTTAAATACCATATAATATATATAAGTGCCATGATATATTTTTTGATATCATTAGTATATTATTAATAGTATTAAATAGCATGTATTATGTTATTAATTCAACTTGCTACCAAACCAAACTGTGTTGTCATAAAAACGATGTTTACTTAATAATATTTATATTTATATATAAGAGATTCTAAATTGGATATTTCCATTTTATTTAAAGAAAAGTTAATAAAATTGACTATGCAATCTGTCCTTTGCGATGAGTTTGTTCGGGACTTTTATTATGACATTACCGGAAAGAGGCGGAAGTCATCTATTGTTTTCAACGCTGATTTGACATTTGGCGCGTTCAGTGAAAAGTCGAGTGATAAACGTAAGTGCTCATTTATTTAAGATAAATATGGTCTTTTCTGAAACATACGCGTCTCTGTATAACTGACATGGTCCTTTTATAGTGAGTCTGATGTCGATGTGTTTTGTGAAGGAATTATAAAGTCAAACAGGTTGCTGGATGTGTTTGTGTTTCTATTTGTTTTCACGGATAAAGTGAATAAATGGATCGATACAATGATGTTAAAATCCTCCTGAAGAAATGGGAACAGTCTTTCTTCCAAACAAACAACAGAAAACCTAATAAGGTGTCGTGTATTCATCAGTATTCTGGAATATTGTGTTGTTTTTAAGTTGTTTTATATGCTCTGTGTTGTTGTTTTTATACGTTGTATTTTACGTTGTTTTCTTCTGTTGTTGTTAAATTAATACTGTCCAAAACACCCTTTCTTTTGAAGGACGACATCGATAAAGCTCCAGAGGAGACGAGACGTAAGTTTATTGCCTTGTGTTTGTAATTTGATGAGTGACGTATGTCCGTGTTAGGATTTAATTATTTATTTGTACCCTGTGTGTTGTTGTTTTTGCAGAACTCTATAAAGAATACCGTTCTCTTAAAGAAGCAAAAGAAAGGAATGGCACTGGGCAGGAGGAGCACACAAAACCCCCAAAGAGTCAGCCTTCTACAGCTGTAAGAGGACAAATCTAATTCATTAATTTTAACATTCATCAGCCGTCTTTGTAGTTTCTGAAGATTATACCTGTTTATGTATCGATTTATTAAACGTGCATGTGTTCGCTGTTTTAAGGAATCTGGATGCTGGGGGTCTCACCTCAACCGAAAGAGTCTGCCGGCTGCTGTACCAAAACTGTCATCAGATGACAAAGAGACGCTGAAAGCTTCAGCTCAGTACTTTGGCATGAAGTTGAAAAACAATCTTGGAGCTTTAACAAAGGTGAATGTGACTTACACTGTATCCTGAGCCGGGTGATATCATAAAAAAAATGATCTCAAGTTCATCTCATGACAATATGTGATATGTTGTGATATTTAATTATTATTCATATTGAATTAAAGTAAATAAAAGTAAGAAATTATCAAGTTAATAAAAAAAAAGAATCAGTCTTCTGCAATAAAAAAACTATTTTTTTTATTTAAAAAGTAAAAATAAAAGTAAAAAAGTTTAATTTAAAAAGTAAAATACTATAGAATTAAATTTTGAATAGGCCTAATTAAAAAGAGAATAAAAAAGACATGTATATAATATATTTTTTTTCAATAAATGTTTTAAGATTTAAAATTCTAAGAACAATTATGTTGATGTTTGTTACTGTGTATATTCAGAAACCTTTCTACTGATTTGACTGATATCATTGTGATATTTGGTGGAAATGGCTCTTTAGTTTAGATTTTATTTTATTAAAAAGACATAATGAAAAATCTGTATATTATATTGGTAAAAATATTCAGAAACATGTCCACTGATTAATCTTTACTATGTTGTGCTTTTTGCATTACATAACTTAATCTGTGTGACTGTTTTAACTGTTTTAACAAATAATGGTACTTTGATTGAAGCAATTCTTAATGAATCTAATTTTTGACTAATCCGATTTTCAGACTGTCAGTCCAAATCCGATTATTTGTGTATCCGATTGGAATCTGATTTAGATGTTTGACTGTCCACACCAGATCTAATTTGTGACTCTGGCGCTCTTTCATTTTAATGAATATCTGCATTGGCTTTATTGCAATGTCTTTGCGTTGGTATGCATATGCTAAAACCAACAATACAGTTTGCAATACAGATGTTGTCTTATGACATGACAACATGTTGCTGTTGCAGCTGCGCTGTATTATTATATTTCGTCTTGTGAGGCAGCGGCAGAAACGCAGGAAGCTGGAATGTGCGGCTTTATTCGGTGCTGCCGTCTCCGCTACATTCAAAACTCGAAGAGGTGCGTAAACTAGCAGTATATTGTGTTTTTCCGCTTGACTTGCACTTCGCAACGACACAAGCTTGTTTCTGGCATGTTTTCTGCAAAAAAACGTCTGACGTGTTTACGTTTTACATGGCGTGAGGGCGTGAAAAAGCTACGCTAAATCCGATCTGACCGGTCAGACTGAAACGGATTTCCAGGAATGCGATTTGAATAGGATTCCAAACCACATATGAATGTAGCTCGAAACGGATTTGCAAAAATTGGATTTCATGTAGTTCGTTGCTGTTTAGACTATCTAAATATGATCGGATTTCAATCGGATTTGCACAAAAATCGGATTTGGGCTGACAGTCTGAACGAGGCT